TAGCTCACTGGTAGAGGACCCCTCTTAGTTCGTTTCCCCAGTACTGGAAAAAAAAATCTGGTTTAATTCTCGGTGTCACAAAAATAAAATTAAAAAAAAAAAGAAAATGGAAACTAAAGAGCTGAGGATATCATTCAATGGTAGAGAATCACTAGGTTCAATCCCCAGTACCACACACACAAGTACAAGAGGATAGAAAGTAATCCTAAAGAAAACAGAGGCCCTGTCCTACAAATCCCCATGTGTGTCTGTCAGTGGTAAAACCACAGAACTTCTGAAGGAAAGAAATTTCCGGTTCGAGGTCTCATGTACCCAGACACAGCAGCAGTCAAATCAAAGACAGTTTTCCGCCTGCGGAGTGGGTTGAAATCCCATCTCTGCAGGAGGCCCGATTTCTGAGCTCAGCAGGCTTTGAAATCATCCCTGAAAACCTGCCTCTGAGGAATCTCACCCATCACCCCTGCAGTACTCCAGACCCCACCCACCGCAGGGCACAACCCCCTGCAGCGCTCCTAGGGTTCAACCCCGGGACAGGACACGCAGATGACCCGCCACTGTATCCCCAGTGGCATGGAGCATGCCAGGCACAGGGTCTTTAATAAACGTTACTTACTTACGAGGTGAACTCTAAACTTCAGGGGGACACAGGGACCGTGTGCTGAGAGCTACTCAGCTGCCCCAGGGTGCAGCTCATTTTTGTGCCCACAGAACACAAATGGGTCAGGAATGCCACGAACTTTCCCTTCCACAACTTTTGGCCATTCTGAGCATTTTCCTTCTACTCCTGGGAGGCTGGGAGGCTGGGGAAGGGGAGGCGGAGGGGAAGGGTGGCCTGGGCTATTCTCCAGGCCGTCTCTGCCCGTCTCCCCAGGACCATCTGCCTCCTGCACACAGGGTCAATCATTCTGAAGTGTGGGTGGGGGATCCCCAAACACACAAAATTCCAGACACCTTTATGCTCACTGTCCTCAAAAGTAACGTGGGATTCTGCCTCACCGAGAAGAATTTGTCAATGTCCCCTCACACACCACCAGACTCAGGCGTCATTTGCACTTGAGTGCTATTTGCTCATCCCAAGTTGTGCCCTGGAGTGGACTGGCACGTCATCCTGACACTTTCTCTAGGGTCTCAGTTCCTGGGTCCATGCAGCACTTGGGGCTCAGCCCCACTTTAGGAATAAACGGGACTATAAACAGTGATGCACTGCTACCATCCTAAGGGACAGACGTGCCACTGTCCACAGAACACCAGGGCAGGCCGCACGCAAACAAGAGACCACGAACCACTCAGGTGGAAACGGGCAGGAAATACACCCAGTGCAGGGCTTTTAAAAAGGTACCAGAAAATCCCCAAACTCTATTGATAGTTCCATAAAACTTTTTTTCTTTTTTAAGCAAATGGCTTCCTCCCCCACATTTCCTTACACACATGACCGAAATTTAGCATCTAATTCACAGGAAAAGAAAGTAGACTGGCCTCTCCCTGCCTACTTCTATCCTTAAGCTGCTACCAGATTCAACTAGTGCTGCTCAGAAAGGGGTTTATGATCCTTTTCCTCATGGCTGGGGCTACCCAGGAGAAGCCTAGGGACACAATAACTCCATCCTTAGACAATCACGCAACAAATATTTACTGAAGGCAGAGCAGGTCCTCAGGGGCCAAAGACTTACCAGGGAATTAAAAAAATAACAAAACCCCAAAACACACCCTTGCTTTTACAGAGCCTGCTAGTTCGGGAGACTGGTGACTCACATGGCTATATGATATGTAAAGTGCTTAAGAGGAAAAAAAGACCAGGCCAGAGGAAGGGGGAGGGCTGGGGTAAAGGCCACTTTACATAGGCCAGGAAGGTGACCTTAGAAGTCCTACTTCGGGAAACAGACTCTTAGGCAATAAACATAGACCACAGTCTCCTTGGTCATACACTAAATATACCAAAGGTAGAGGCCAATTTAGAAAAGTTATGTTCCAGAGTACCTCCTGGGCAGGGGAAGACTGGCAGCGGCAGAGCACCTGGCCAGCACATGTGAGGCCCTGGGTTCCATCCCTAGCGTGCACGCACATGCGCATACATACACACATGCACACATACACACATACATACACAAGTGGTTCAGTTTTCAAATTAACTAATGAGGGAAGATCCTCAATTGCAACAGCCTAAAGTAGATTCTTCAAAAGCTCTCAGGTGAATTCCTCTGAATGGTCATATGGTACCTGAGGGTCTTGTAGAAAGACTTTGATGGACATAGATCTAATAATTTTATTTATATATATATATATATATATATATACACACACACACACACACATATATATATACACATATACACACACACACACATATATATTTCTATAAGGCTGGCTGTAGTCAATACATTAACAGCAGTTGTAAATGAAGTTATTTTTTAGGAGTCACAGATGTCAACATGAGGGTGCAGGGTGCCTCAGAGACTGTCACTTTATGCAGATGGGGACAGGCCTCAGTTTCCTCATGTTGCCCAGCATAGAATGGGTCCCCGGGGCCACAGTGAGACCAAGGTTCTAAGCTAAACTACAGCGTCATGCGTGAAACCCAGGCGTTCTGACTCCAGTTCTCACAGCCACTCTCATATAAGACACAGCCTCTTGAGCTGGGTAATTAGGCAGAGTAAGGGTAATGCATGAGCCGTGGTGACCCGCAGGGACACCAGGATGGAGCCGCTCGTTGCAACAGCTGCTGTGAGAATGACACTCATATACCCATGCCCGGTCCACGTGTAAACACAGGTTCTTTGAAAATCACCTGCCTTCCCTATCATAAGTCCACTCCACGGCACAGGCCTCAGGGGACCTGGGACACCAAAACCAGTGTGAAACAGAAACAGTGTTGTAAAAATGGACCAAGATTTGCTAAGAAAACTGGGAACCTCCTTCTCAACACGAGCAATGCAGTTTTGAAGAGAAAGTCAAGTGTAAGGACTTAGAATTTTTTTCCTCTCTCTCAACACACTCCACTTGCAGAAGGATTTTAAAATGACCAAGTCGGCCATGTGGCATCCTAAAGTTTACACTTCAGAGCTTTAAAAACCTCAGTGTCTGAGGTCTGGCATCAATGCTTCATAGTAATGGTTTAAACACACATACACACACACACACACACACTATTTGAAACAAACTATCTTGACTATAGTAACTGCACTGCTCATTTAAATGGAGCCTGAGCAGGCTGGGGTGGTGCACGCCTGCAATTCCACTACTTGGGAGGCTGAGGCAGGAGGATCACAAGTTTGAGGCTAGAATGGGCAATTTAGCAAAACCCTGTCTCAAAATAAAAAAAATTAAGAGCTGAGGATGTAGCTCAGTGATAGAACATCCCTGAGTTCAATCCTCAGTATATATGTGTGAAATGGGTAGATCAATATATGAAAAACAGAACCTGAAACCTAGAGCACTATTCCACAAGATATTTGCTTTCCAGGAAAATGACACCTTTTAAATAAATAAATAAATGAATCACCATTCTAACAATTACCTGATTGCAAAGAATTTCTGGTAAAACACCCTAACACCCCAATCCAATAGGAGTACAAATTATTTTTTGATAGGGATAGAAACCGTTGCAGAGAGAGATTTTTCTGGTAAGTAAAGAAGTTCTGCCCCTGATGGGACTGCAGGCCAAGATGGTGGCTGCTAAATGAACAGGAGTACACAGCAACCTACAGACTCACAGAACACCACTGCTGGGGGGTTAGCGACTTCTTGCCCAAGGTCACTGATGGCAGGATGACCATCTGCCCCTTGGAACCAAGGTGATCATCTCATGAAACAGACGTACACTAAAACTTCAGCATGTCAACTATGAGGCGTAGGGAAAATTTAGTAACCTCATTTTCATATTGCTATTTAACCCTGAGGAAATATGGATACATATACATATTTTAATACTAATATTTAAAAACCCATGAAATAAAAACATCTAGTGGGAACTTCTCAATGACCATACTTTTACTTCCTGATACGTGCTGCATCCAGCTCTTTTAGGCAACTGAACAATAGGTGATGAACTGAAAAGATATTCTGGTTACATTAAGAAATTAAAAACATATGCACATAATATTAAAAATACACAGATTACAAAAGTATGCATACAAACACACCGAAACCAAGTTGAAATTGGCCCTTCATCTTCTAAAATTTTAAGGTAATATAATTTCCTCTCTGTCAGGGTGTTCACTGACCATCCTGGGTTTCCTGCAGTGGTATTCTTTCCTGCTCAACACTCTGCTAAACATTTTTTTTTTTTTTTTAACAACACAGTCTCACAATGAGTTGAAATCTCCAAAAAGTAGCAAGTGAGCCCCTTGAAGTTCCTCCTGGGTCATCTCAGCATTACTTAATATTAAAACTTGTCATGAGCCATCATCTGTCACACAGTACTTATTTACTAATCTCAAAATCTGAAACCCAGTAACTTGATGAAATCCAGGAAATCAACTAATTATGAATAAGAGAAGCACCCAACAGAACTGCTCATCTTCGCACACCTCAAGATGTTCAAAGCCAGAAGGAAAAGAAAAAAAAAAAAAAAAACACCTCTTCAGGCCAAAACTTCATATGAAACCTAGAATTATGGTTGGTTGGAAATCCTGGTTGCTGCTAAGCCTCGGCCTATTCATCAACCTAAAAGAACTGCCATAGCTCCGTCTAAGGAGGCGACTTTGATCCTATCTGGCTGTACCAGTAGGCAGGGCGTTCCCACAATGAAAGAATCATTGTATTCTACTTTTATTCTAGAAGGAGATAATGAGCAGAGCTACACAGAAACCGAGAGAAAGGCAAGTTCACGACAAATACAAACAGAACCTCCTAAAAAAAAAAAAAAGTCAGCAAAGGAATTAATTGGATGATCACCTAGCCTCCTGCTAATACCCCTTCATCACTCTGGCTCAGCTGCAGTGGTGATTCACAAATCCTCCGCAGGCAGGCCCCTGCAGAGGCTGCTGTCCTTATTAACTTACAACATTCACTGCGCACTGTTCCCAGGGAGCCTTGGCCTGTTCTCCAGCATGGAGCCTCCCCAGGGAAGCTGGAGGTCTCCAAGCTCCGACGCGGTCTTCCTTGTGTTCACAGAGGGGTGAGAGACACCTGGCATGGAACAGACCAAAGAGAAACAGGTAAATTCATCATCAAATCACACCTTATCTCAACAAATGAGGTTCACTGATCCATTAGACTAAATGGGCATTCACCAACAACCCTTTTCCAGTATTCCTAAAATCAAAACCAAAAAAACCAGTATTTTTGTGCTTGCCCCAGGAGACACAAGAAGGCACAGCCATCTTTTTTTTTTCCCTTCCCCACCCTGTTCCATAAAATTGGAGGCAATTTTGGGAGACTTCACACACAATCCTGCAATCCTGGATGAGATGCAAACTTGCAAAACGTCATCAAAATAAACCCCTTAGGGCTGGGGTGTAGCTCCGTGGTAGAGGGCTTGCCTAGATGCACAGGGAAGGCCCTGGGTTCCATCCCCAGCCCTGCAAAAATAACGACAATCAAAACCCCAAAATAAGTCACCTGATTTTGCTCTCTGCAAACGGGAGCGAGGACTATCCCCTTTTACCATTTCCATACCTCGTTGGGTTTGGGGGACGAACAATAAGATCACTTTTGCAAAGCACTCACAGTTCCTGAGGAGACGGGCACGAAGGGAGTGCCAAGTGTTATTAGTGGTCACAAGCCTGTTAGGGAGCTTGGAGCCAGACTGTAATAGCCAGCTCTGGCCAGGCACCAACAGTCAGCCCTCCCTGAAGCACCCAAATGTGCTGGGTGCCAGGCAGAAGAGAAAGGACAGGCATGGGACAGGAAGCTCAGGGGATGAGAGCATGGGGGGGCAGGGGGCGTGGGGCACACTTATTTGGTACAGACCACAGATTTGCAGTGTTTCACACACTGAATGTTTTCGGGGCTCTGAAATTTTCCAGTTGGCCGTCTGTCTGCCTTCCCACCCCTGCCCTAGGATGACAGTCACACACAGAGGTGGTACACCAAGGCCCGTCTGGAAAAGGAACTGTGCAAGGTTTGTGGCTTTTAATGGAAAGACCTATTCCTAGGCTAATCATGAATATATTTTCTGCACCTGGAGTCCTTGCCCCGCCACCCCTCTTTGAGGCGGACTCAGGAACAGCTGCTCCCAGGCCAGTATCAAGCTATTTTGACTTATGTACCCTTGAGAAGCATAGTTGAGGGACAGGAATTTACATTAGTAGCTTCAGGGAGTGATGAAAAACACAGAATTTAAGTGTTACACTAGGATCTGTCTGCTTCTGTATAAATCACCCACAAGCACCAGTCAGGTTTTTCCTTTCAAAGTCATGAATGTGTATTGAACACAGGTGGGAGATGCCATTTAGCATCATGGGTACAAGAAGCCATATTTCCAGGAGGGGGAAAAAAAACAGATCATATACACAAAAGTGAATAATATCCAATCTTAAATTTGGAATTAGTAAAACATTGTCAAGTATATCTCAAAAAAAAAAAAAGACAAAATTTGGGACAGAAGGGATGAAGCAGGGGTCAGCTGTTTGTATAATTAATCATCACTTTTCTAGTGAATCCAAATACCATGTTCTTGCTTATGAATTAACTCATTGGCTGGGCAAACTCTTACTAATAGTGCTATGATGTCTACCAGTTCTATGTTTGTCTGGGGGGCAATAATAATGAACAAAATAGATAAGGACCCTGCCCTTTGGGTCTCCTTGTGACAAGAGATACAGACCTTAAAGAGTTAAAGCATATAGTTTTTACAGTATGCATGAAATACAGAGAACAGGGTGGAGTGCGGTGGTGCACACCTGTGACCCCAGCAACTCGGGAGGCTGAGGCAGCAGATTGAAAGTGTGAGACCAGCTGGCAACTTAGGCCCTATTCCAAAATAAAAAGGGCTGGGGATATAGCTCAGGGGTAGAGTGTCCCTGGGTTCAATCACCTGTAGCATAAAAAACAAACAATGAAGGAAAAATAATCATGACTGACAATCTTAATGGGGCGCTTCGCTTTGGAAGAGGTGCCCAGGAAGCCTCTTAGAAAAGTAAGAGTAAAGCCAGGAAGTCAGATGGGTGGAAGGTAGCCAGATATCGAGTCTCCAGGTAGAGGAAACAGCCTGTGCATACTGGGTCTAACATGGAGATGTCGATTAGTTTGCTGTTCCACTTTGGGTGGGGGGTCATTTCAACTGGGTCTCTGTCAATAAGCAGAGCCGTCTTCAGTACCCTGAAGCAAGAGACAATCCTTCCTTCTGACTGCTGGGCCCTCAGACCAGCAAACACAGGCCATCTCTTCAGGGAAAACACCATTCAAGGCCTGAACTTGATCTAATGGGAAAGAAGAATCCTGTCCCCTAATACACCAAGTCACCCCATCACGGAGAAAGGAAGGGAACTCTCCTGACACCTGCAGACCACAGCTTGTGGTAGAAAAGCCAATCAAACAGGGACTAAAAACATCACATGTCAACTTAGTACCTTGCTTTAGGTTCCAAAGTTCTGGCTTCTCCTTGGCTATCAGGATATTTTTATTATTTCTCCCTTGCACTTAAATGGCATTTATACCCATCTGTAACAGTGTCTCTTGATTTAGTACCCTGATTATGTACCCAAGTGAGAAAGCAGCACGATGCAAAGAGAGAAAAAGCAATGGAAAGGCTGTGTTCATCTGCAGGGTTTTCTTGTCTCTGCGCATTCCCCATCTGGCTCAAGTCCTCCACCAACGAAAAAAAAAAAAAATCAGTAATTTGCATTCTTCATCCTACAAAACCGAGGCACCCCAGGCAGGCTCATTCACGTCCTCCCCGTGCATGGAGTCAGCCCGAAACAAATACTCCAAACCTTGAGTCTTTTTCCGTTTAAGCTGCCCAGGGTAAAGTGTAATTTCTCCTCCAAGTTTCTCATGCAAACAAAAATCTTAATACTCCTCCAAGCGCACCAAGTCTAAGAATTCACAGCTTCACTTTGACCTAGCTAGTCTCGACAAACCTTAGCAAACTCAGGAGAGAGCAAGAAAAGCTCTTCTTGCAGCCAAGTTGTCTGATACCTTGCCATCAGACCTGGGAGAGGATGCCAGGCTGACAGTTTCATCCTCGGTGAGGAGGAGGAATGACACAAAGCCAGCTTCTCCGTCCCTCGACTGCCCACGGCACTTACAGTCTCCACCGCATACTGTGACCCAAGGTCCTTTCAATTCAGCGCTCTGTCCTACTGTCTTTTTATACTCCAGTGGATTTATTTAAGTCTTGAAGGCTCAAAAAGTTTATAAGCTCCTTGATGAGAGAAACCTCGCCATGTCCTTCTTCCACAAGCTACGTGTCTGGTGGAAGAGCCTGAATTTAAATCATACCCTCCACACCTAAAGCCTGTTCCAGGACTTAACCCTTCCCGTGAAGGATCCCCTCCTCTATTGCCACAATCAAAGACCTTCTCATCTTCCTTGGTTTCCCGAGGACTCGGAATCCTCATGGCACCTCTGGTCCAAATGAAAGCTCTCCGCCAACTTGAAAACAACCCCATTGCAACGTCACGTACCTCTTCTCCGTACTTCCCACCCATTCCATTTTGTCATTGGTGGCTTCTGAACAGTTGCCCTCATCTTTCAAGGTTTCTATGCCCCCTGTGCTTCCTGTCATCAGGCATATATGTAGCCTGGATCTCTTGGCTTTTTCAAAGCCCGCTATTAGAGCAACCCCACCCCCACGTGGAGGAGGGATGGGGGCCTCGGGGGCCAATGTTCTCAAAATCAGCATCAGAAACAGCTGAAGTCCTGTTAAAACCGTGGACTACTGGGACCCATCCCTAGAATTTCTAATTCAAAGAGCCTGGGGTGAGGCCAGAGACCTAGCACTGCTAACAAGTTCCCAGGTGGGGCCGGAGCTGCTGATCCAGGACCACCCTTTGGGAAACACCTTCTAAGGGTCTCCATGTCAGCTGCCCAGCCGGACAGTGCCAGTGGATCTTTCGTATACATTTCATGATTGTAAAATGGTTCTATTGATAGAAATGATATCTGTTTATTCCAAAGAGGTGACAAGTGGCCAAAACACCCCCCACCACCACCACCCACACACACTATAGATAAACACACAGAACCTGGAAAATGTCCTGTGATCCTTCCAACTGGACTTTTTATTCACTCTTCCCCTGCTGCTCCGGGTCCTGTTGGGGTCAACTCTGCTCTCCGTCTCCCCTTCTTTTTTCCTTTCTACTAGAGGCTTCTCAGCCCACATACACACACACTGAGTCACTGCTGTCCCTGAAAGACCTTCTCCATTCCCTGGTAGGTTCCCAAAGAGCTGTCACTTGTCTGCCACTCACCAGCAGGTGAAAGTGCAGTATAAATTCAATGTCCCTCCTATCGCTTTATTTATATATTTATTTATAATTTTTATTTATTTTTTAAGCAAGCTACATTCTCTTTCAAAGGTCAACAGCGCAGCTTCCTGCTGTCTAAATGCGGGGACTTTTCCTGAGTCCTCATCCTAACCAACTTCTTAGAATATTCCATACAGTTCACCCAAAGCTCCTTCCATTTTCTTTTTTTCTGCAGTTTTGCAGATTAGCATTTTCCCCTGAGAAGCATCTTTCTGAAATGACTGCTCCCCGTTTTCTTTGGTACTTGGGCTTGGATGGACGACCTCATCCCCAGCTCCAAAAATGAGCATGAGCACGGAGCCAGGTTGAGCCAATCAATGCACAGCATCCTTCTGGCCACAACATCTGGCTGTAGGAACAGGCCTGCGCCCGAGGCAGGCCAACCAGAGGCTTCTCTCCGAGGCTGGCACTTTCAGAACAGTGAGGAGGGGAGCAGGACACCTCTAAGCTCCTTTTCCTCCTCGTAAAGAAAACCAGCTTGAGAGTAAATCTCCCCAAGAGAGCAAGGCTGGAGACAGACAGTCAGAGTCCCGATGACAGCGAGCTCCATTACACCCAGTCATGCCAAAAGTTAGGCTTATGCCTGGGAATTTTAGTTAACGGTGTGACAGACGAGTTCTCAGGCAGTCCCCAAGACCATCCTGTCTCCTAAGACACACATCTCCTCTCAGTTATTCAATAGGACACCAATCTAGGTGCTGTTGCTGGGAAGGGGTT